CAGGTAACCTGACACTAAGCCAGCCTAGTTCACACATGTGACCTGGAGATGTCTGCTGTTTTTGTGTTTTTTGATTTTGTTTTCACACTGACTTTTCTCCCCCAATGAACAGCCTAAATATAAATGCATCTGTGAGGATGGCTGGGAGGCTCCAGCAGGGAACCCGTCCTGTGTGGCCGATGTGAACGAGTGTAACCTTCCCACAAAACCTTGCTCCTCCAACCCCATTGTTCCCTGCTACAACACACCGGGGTCCTTCTACTGTGGGACCTGTCCTGCTGGTAACACTCAGTAACACTCTCTGGGCTTAGGGTTAGATCACTGATGTTGTGACTTTGAGGCACATGTGTATTCCTCGCAGAGTATAGCCAAATCTAGGAAATATTGGAGCAGGATTAATGGAGTTATGAGCATACAGTATGATATGCATTTGATTTGTGACTTTATGTATATTGGAAGGAGGAAAATTGGCTTAAATATCCTCTAATATGTCTCAGGTTGGCAGGGCAACGGCTACAGCTGTCAGGATGTGGACGAGTGTTTGACCAATAACGGCGGCTGCTCCTCAGCTCCCATGGTGCAATGCCTGAACACCATGGGCTCCTTCCACTGTGGGGCCTGCCCTCCAGGTATGATGGGAACATTTAAGGGTTCTAAATGTAACCAGTGCTATGAATTCTGCTATGGACGGTTTTAAAATCCCGACATCTGGTGTAAGGATGGTCTTTAAGGAGCTTTTTAATTTACAATTTTGAAAATGAGTGAATGGGGGATACCTATACGACCTTACCCGTTCTGGTCTCCTAAATTAATCTGAGACCCTGGTTTTTGTGCAGGCTATGAGGGGGATGGAAGAACTTGCACCCAGAGCAACATCTGCGCCGCCAACAATGGAGGCTGTCACCCATTGGCTTCCTGCACCTCCAGCCTAGGTAAGTGTGTGTTGATAGCAACTTGAATTTGTGGCCTACTTTTTGAATAATCGTGTATTGTCTGTTTAATTGAAGAAAAAAAAAGTGTAATAACTTCCCACAAGGTCATACTTCTCAAAAAAAGGATTGATACATTTTATTTACTCAAGTAAATTTCTACAGTCTCCAAAGTATGATGTTGGCAAAGTACCTAACTCTCTTCCCTCTCCTCCTTCACACATCCACCAGGCTCCAGCCTCCCTGTATGCACCTGTCCTCCTGGATACATCGGTAATGGCTACGGACCAACTGGCTGCACCCAGACCAGCAACATCTGTACGACCAACAACCCCTGTGTCAACGGGCAGTGTGTGGTGAGTGTGTGTGTGACATGATGGGCTTTATATCTGTGAGTTGTGCTACAAGATAAAACTCACACAAAGTTGTCCTTCACCTTTTATTATATCTGTAAGACACTGAGTTTAACCAAAAATCCTCACTTGAATCCTTTAGTGGCGATACATTCTCAATGTCTGACTGCTGCTGCCCCCCACAGCCCACCACCTCCTCTCCTGGCTACGTCTGCTCCTGCAACGCTGGCTGGCAGGGAGTCAACTGTGACCAGAATATCAACGAGTGCTTAAGCAACCCGTGTCAGAACGGAGGAACGTGCGCCGACGGCAGTAATGGCTTCACGTGTACCTGCACCACTCAGTGGACCGGACCCCTCTGCCAGACAGCACAGCAAGGTATACACACGACAAGAAGGGAGGGGAAGGGAAGCAGTGGGGGCTGATCAGGGTGTGATTTTGTTAAATATTTCATCATCACTCACTTATTTTCATTGCCAAAAAAATGCTATTATGTTTATATGAAAAAATAAGACTTATAAAGTCCCAGGCTCCTCCTACAATAACCTTAAGACATAAAAAGAAAGACATAAATATTACAAGCGACGAGATGGTACAAGTAAAATGCAGGAATAAGTAGCTATCTAGCTAACTATGTACATTTAAAATCATTAAGATTAACAGAGAATGTGTAACTTTATAAAACGGACAAGTCAAATCAAGCAATCTGATTGGTTCTTAGCCGTGATATACTGAGCGTATACCACGGGTAGAATTGTCGTTACTTTTCACAACAAGTCAGTATCCCTCCGCGTCTGAGAAAAACTGTATACAGTTGGGCTGAAAAGCAAACTGCCTCCGCTTCGTGTCGGGCCGAACCACGCCCCTTAGCTGTGATATACTGAGCATATACCACGGCCTGTCGTGAGCTATTGCTTAAGTATAGTAGAATCAAATGACTGCTTTCTGTAATAATATACAGTATTTTAAAGAATCCATGTGTTTCCAGTGTGTGGAGGGTACCTGACGGGCCCTGCTGGTAGCTTCAGTTATCCCAACACGCCGGGTCATGATGAGTACGATCACCAGGTCAGCTGTGCCTGGGTGATCCGCACCGACCCCAACAAGGTCAGTACGTCTCTTTCACTTTCCTGTCATTCGTTGACTTTGTTTCTGTAATGTCCTTTTTAGCTTCTCGGCTATCAAAGCACTCTTCTGTAAAGGTCTTTCTTTATTGAATACATGAAATCAAATGCCAAAGGAAGATCTATATGTTGTCTCTTCTTCAGATCCTGCGCATCACCTTCCCTTTCTTCCATCTGGAGAGCAGCACCAACTGCAACTTCGACTTCCTCCAGATCCACGACGGGGAGAGCGCTTCTGCTTACCAGATCGGGAAATACTGCGGCACAAATAACCCCCAGGAGCTCTTCAGTTCCCACGATTCACTTTACTTCTGGTTCCGCTCCGACCACACTATCAGTGCTGACGGATTCACTGTTGTTTGGGAGTCCCGGGACCCAGGTAGGCTATGTTTAGGATTGTTTTTTAAGGTGAATTATAAGGGGAGGTATATGCCACAACAAAAACAAAATGATAAATGTTCTAATTCCTTTTTTGTCATCTGTGAAAATGGGGAGTAAAGACATTTAACCTTTCCTCTCAGTGTGTGGAGACGAGCTAACTGCCCCATACGGCAACATTAACTCGCCTGGTTACCCTGGAAACTACCCACCCGGCAGAGACTGCTATTGGTCGGTTACAGTGGATCCCGGCCTCCTAATTACCTTCGCATTCGGGACTCTGAGTCTGGAGCAACACCCCGACTGCAACTTCGACTTCCTCGAGGTGAGGAATGCTCGATAAGCTCAAATCAATGAATGAAACAATCTCTTTCTTGTGTGTGTATTTTTGTTTTGTGTCAACCTGTGACATCTTTACCCAATTCCTTTGCACTTAGACTGGCACAGATGTTTTATATATTTTTCCCATTTGTTTGGTTTGTGCCACAAGCGATATCCCTTTTAAAGCGACAAGCTCAAACGATACCATGGAATTACAACTCCTTGCAATTACTTTTCCACGTTTTGCCTTTGCCTAATATTATAGATCCGGGATGGTCTCCTACCTGAAGACCCAGTGTTGGGGAAGTACTGCAGCACTGGGTCCCCTGCCCCCCTGCAGACCACCGGTCCAGCTGCATGGATCCACTTCCACACCGACCACAGTGTCTCTGACCGAGGCTTCCACATCACATACACAACGTCACCAAGTAAGAAACTGCCTACCAAGTAAACCACTGAAGGTTATTCTTCACCGTGGGAGCATTATAACAGATCTATATCAAATGTCACACCCTTGGGGTTGAAACCCTCTCCTAATCCTTGGTTGTGTTTGATCCTAGGTGACCCAGGTTGTGGGGGTACCTTCACTGACAGTGAGGGCGTCCTCATCTCCCCCAACTGGCCCAACAACTACGCCCACAGCAGACAGTGCATCTACTTGATCAAGCTGCCGGTCGGTGAGAAGGTGTCCCTCAACTTCACTGACATCGACATCGAGAGTCACGCCAGCTGCACATTTGACTATGTGGAGGTAGGACTCGCACATATGTATCCTGATTCATTTATGGAAAAAGAATGTGCTTAGAAAGTGTTTACATACTGACACCCGAACAAAATACATTCAGATAGTTTGTGTCAAGGGGAGAACACTGAGGCATGAACTCAATTGCACGACTCAAAACTCAGACTCAGATAGCGTTTCAAAATAAAGACTTTACTGGAATTTGCACAGTAATAAAACAAGGAAAACAAAAACCACTCTTTCGAGGAAAACTAGAAAGCGATCTATAGCATAGGTCCGTGAAAGGTCCGTGAAAAGGTCCGTGAGGTAAGCCGATACGTGGTCTTCGAGAGACAACGAACTGACAATTAACAGGAGGGAGCTAACACAATATATACACAGGTAAAGGGGACACAGTTGGAAACAATCAGGGCGGGGAAAAATAATCAAGGACGCAGGAGACAGAAAAGGGGCGGGGAGCGTGGAGGCCTGAAATGAGAGGAAGAAATAATTAAGGGTATAGACATAAAGCACAAGACAAAGGGACATGACAACTCTAACATAAAGAATAAACTTTCACTATAAGTTTCTTGGACATGACAGATTTAAGTTTGGGGTTATGTAACTTCAGTGTTATTCAGGTACAGACTAGAGTCGTTGTATTGAACATCTTGTCATTTGATCAAATTCTAATAAAAAGAATATTGATTATTGCAAATTTCAAAGGAAATATTGTTATCAGTTAAATACATTTTTAACAGCATTACATGCCTGCAGATTGAGCGGCAGTCTGAAACAATGACAGTAATGTGTCCTACTGTAACCTCTGTAACATTGTTTGATGACATTCATCCATGCAGCGTGTGGATTTATCTGTATGAATAACACTCCTCAGGGTTTATGATAGTGGCTTGACAGAGTTGTCTTTGGATTCAAAATGCCCGCATAAATAAAGATTTGTGAAGCCTTTAAATGCTGCAGGACAACTCAATTCACACCGTTACACAGAGATAAACTGAATGCTATACATTCTCGATGTTTACCCAGCTGTTTTATATCAGCCGTGTGATTTTGCTGCATGAACGTCCCCTGAAGGTTTTTACTTGTATCTCAAAATGTACTATAACATGCATCACAGCAAAACCAACTGAAAAACAAAATGTAGGCACATTTGATCTTGATTTCAATACGACTTAGAGATAAACAGATCCCCGTCTCTGTGAATGAGTCTTCTTTCGCTTGGGTGGTTTGGTTTTGGTGTTACATGATGTTGCAAGTTAACAATGATGGGTTTTTTCCTTTCGAATGTGAAACAGGCAGGGAGCATCAGCATACTATGAAACAACACAGACAAATTGTTCCCAATAAGTTGTTGCAGCTGCAGTGACCTCTCCCCTGAGGTGTTTAGACCAAAATAAAGAGAGAAGAAATGTCCTGAATTTATAAAAGGTGGAAATGTAAGTGAGGCTTTTCCATTACAGCCATTAGCCTACAAACAGCAGTCAACAAACACACTAATTAATTAGTGCAGGGCATGTGTTTGTGTGTGTGCGCCTGTGTGCGTGCTTATAAACACATTAAAACCGTCAATACTAAATGTTCACTTTAAATAAGAGCTTTGTGTTAAGCATTATCTATTAAACACCCTAAGTGTGATGTGATGTGACACACACACACACACACACACACACACACACACACACACACACACACACACACACACACACACACACACACACACACACA